AAAGAATTGTGTGTTGTTATTTTAGTCTGTCTTCAGGCACTGGTAACAATAAAGATTAAGAAAGATGTTCTGGTCAGATGAGACGAGGATTTTATTGATTGCATGCAAAGGGTCATTTGTTGTAAATATTGATGCTGAATTGTATTGTGACTACTTCACCACTGAGGGTTAGACATAGTAGCTTCATTATTATCTTATAGGAATGCATTTCTCCAGCAGGGACTGAGGAACTGGTCAATGTTTATGGGGAATATGAGTAGAGTTAAATACAGAGCAGTCTCTATAATGGAGATGTTTTAAACATTAAGACTCCTAATTTGAAATAAATCCATCTTAGCAGAAGTTTGGATCATTTTCTGTAAGGTTTGTGTGTATATAGCTGGAGGCACCATGCAAAAGAAAGGCAAATATTGCAGAAAACGTATCATGCTGAATCATGGTTCAGCCTTGAACTCAGAATAATTTACCACACACAGATCCATTAGGGTTGCCAACTCTTTGAAAAATAAATAACTGACACTCCTTGGCCAGGCACTCTCTTCCATGATGCATCTTATATTTGCCTTTTTTTTTCACTATATTTAATAATGTTTAAGCATTTTACTCAAACCTAAATTGAATCAGACAGATTAATTTGTTCTATTATATATGGTAAATTTAGACAAATGAAATACATTTTTAAGTCCCTCTTTTTCAAGGGACAGCTGACAACCATAATTGAATCTGTTCTTGTTTCATTGGTTAAACACAGACACTCAGCAGGCAAAGCATTTCAGAGAAAAGCTTAAAGAACATGCAACTTTCCTTCCACTTTATACTTTATCAAATGTATGCACTACAAAACAGAACGCACAGCAGATTCGTAATGCTCTATTTTCATTCTGCCACAAGGACGAGAGTCTAGAGTGCCTCCATTAATGTTTCCTCTGTTCTTTTGTGAGAACAATAAACAGCAATCAGAGCTAAACCCTACAGAAATAAATGCATTTCCCCCTGCCAAAACTATAAGAAAAAAAACAACCTTTAAGGATATAATACTTACTCTGACCCCTTTATTTTAAAGTTGTCTGATTAATTTAACCAGTGATAAGCTACTAACAAAGTTGAAACGCCCTCGGGGGATATAACTGCCATAAAATATATAAATCATTTCAGAATAAATCATTTTGCATGCATCTATTGATTTGATCTGGCACAGTTAACCTGAGCTGTCATACTGAAACTAGATTAGTTATCTTAATCCAATCATATGCACAAACATTGAGTAATAATTGCTGATGTCGTTCTCTGTTAAAACACTAACCCCAATGCAACAGTGACCTCAGGTGATCAAATGGTGATAATGCAGAAACACACTCGATCTTATGTTTGAAATGACTAAAAATACTTCAAAATTCTAATTAAGATACTTAACATTTCTTTTGGCTTAAAAAGTAAAATCTAAATAGAAACAAAAGCCCTGCAATGCAGATAATGTAGTCAGTTTTTATGTGGTGTATGTTTTTATTTTGTACAAATCCAGAACTTAATTCATGAGGCTTGCAAAGACTTGATTGTAATATTGTGTTTTAAATATATATTTTACCCAATATTTTAAATTTATAAGTATTCTAAGCTGAATTGCTACATATTGATTACAAACAAGACTCGCTTTTTAAGTGTTAGTTGGAAAAATAAGATTTCAAACGGAAATATTAGCAGGTTCTGCTCCAGTTATTTCTGTTATGTTAACTGATAGCAAAAACTGCAGTCATCATACTCCCTTAAGCGTTAAAGATAATAGAGGGACTAAAAGATGTCTCACCGATGATTAATTTCCTGAACAATAACTTTATCGTTCCATCCGTTTGTGGAAAGCATGATGCATGTAGAGGTTTGGAAATCAGCGCAACGTTACTTTGTGTCCTGATAAAGATTTTTTTCCACTTGACTTGAATAAAGTTTCAATAAACCGGGCAAACCCAGTGTGGGATGTAACTAGTGAAACCACACAAAAAAAACAAAAAAAACCAAAAAAAAAAACGCAGTGAAACAATGTGCTTTTAAAAAGAAGACCCAGAATTGATCTGTTCAAGCTTGAGAATGAAATGTTCTGAATCTTTTAAATTATGTTTTTGGGAGGTGAATATGTTTGCAATTTGTGTAAACAAGAAGCTTCCTAGAAATACTGAAGCATCATTATATTACTGGGTATGTGAGTTCTACTCCCTCAGATGTTCTCCAGTATCTTGCCTTCATCAGGGTGTTGCTTCCTTGTTGCTCTTTTTCTTAATTACAGGAGCTCATTTCCTCCAGCGTCCAGGAAGCAGAAATCGCACATATCCCACACATTAGTTCTGTTTACAAGATTGTTTCTATTGGAAGGAAATTGTGTCAACTCTTCAGCTTTCTTGTAAAGCTTGCTTTTTGGTGAATCAGATAAGATTAAAAAAACAATCTGAAGGTAATAAAAATATAGAAAGTAGCAGCTATTTTTCTTTTATCACATCATCATACATTTAATTTGTAACCTCTTTAAAGAAAAAAATGAAGGATTCAACTTAATTGCCATTACTTTTTCACAAGTACAAAGCAACGAGAATCACTCCCTGCATTTAACCCATCCCCTTGGGGAGCAGTGGACTGACTTTGTGCGGTGCCCGGGGAGGAGTGTGGGGTTAAGGGTCTTTGCTCAGGGACCCAGAGTGGCAGTCTGTGGCAGTGGGGCTGGAAATCAGAACCTCTGGGTTTAAAGAGCAATGCCCTAACCACTAGGCCACCACTTCAACTAATATGTTATTGTTGTTTAAACTGCAATGGTTAGAGAGAGAAGTATTTCATTCTATCACTACTAGGGGCAAAGTAATATTTTACATTAGTATAATTATGTTTTTTATATACATTTTGATAACTGTATAACTGTTCTATAAAACTTTACATATTTCATTTATGATCTATGAGGTGCTTTTATAGAGACTGGCCACCTTCTGAAGACACCTTGGTGTAAAACTTAGCTAGGCTAAGTTTTCATCTTCTAAGCTGCTTTAATTCATCATGGCCTAGATTCAGCAAGAGGTTGTAATTTTTTAATCCGAGTTTTTTATCCTTATTGAAATAGTAGCAGCCGCCAGTTGTTGCAGATTGTTTGGGAATTGCTTATCTTACTGTAACTCAAAGGAGCTTTGTTAGAGAGACATATTTCAACTAGTATTAGATTATTTGAGTTTTGTCACATTTAGCATTATCCTCCGGTAACTAGCGAGTCAGGCATGTTGTGATCATAAAGGGCTGTTCATGATGAGAGGCAATACTCGGGTGTGCAGTAACACTCATATAAGGCAAGTGAAGTTGATTTATACAACACTTTCAGTGACACAAAGTTACAAAGCACTATGACGCATCAATCAGTTCCTCAACTGGTAGTAAGGGATCCAAAGCACACTAAGAAAATACTTCTCACAACCTTATACTAAATCAAGCTCATAATTATTTATAAGGCAAATTTAAAAACAACATTCTGTTTTCAAAATACTGAAGAAGACAAAAACAATGAGATTAAACACATCATTACAACAACAGGGGAGAACTAAAGCATAAATCAAAGAGCAATACACTACTGGCAGAAAGTCAGACTGGGTTTACTGCCAGTGGTGTATTGAGTTTAAAGAGGCCTTTCTAACAATGGATTGTGAGGAGAGAGGTCTGAAAAAGCCTGATCACCTCTACAGTATGCTACATCCTCCTTCTACCAAAACTACCAAAGTAAGATGATCTAATTATTTTAGTGCCAGAGAGGCTGCAGCAGGTCAGAGAGATATAGGTGTGCAGTCCATCAAGATATTTACACTATTGGTCAACAGATCTTTAAAGTTTATGAGACTCACAGGGATTCAATGATGAAGAGAGGATAAAGAGAACAATGTGGACAAACCTACAGTTGCTGAGCTGCAGCATTCTGCACAAGCTAAAGACTTTAAAGGGTGACCTGACTAAGCCTGATATAAGGTGTATTGGAATAAGCAAGACAGGCTGTAATAAAGACCTGGACTAGTCTTCAAGTCAGGTCTGGTTAGCATTGACTTAGTGTCCACCGCCAGCTTGAACTGTTGATGTAATGCAGAATGGACCCATGCTTTCTTTTAAAATGAATCCCGACCCCATATGAATGTTGGTATTAAACTCGGTGTGAGCTTCTGTGAACCACAGCCTGGGTTTCCTGTTCTTAGCTGAGAAGATTGTCAACCAGTGTTGCTGCTGCCAGCCTCTCCTAATACGAGAAGCTTTTTAATAAATGGTATTCTGCATTGCTTTGCTATGATCTTGAGTCATTAATGAGGCATTTTTGATTAAAGATTCACAATCAACTCAATAAATCCTAATGCCTTAGTGCAGATCTCAATGCTAATCAGACAACACTATCACATTTAAAGACATTTTCTTTTTCAATCTGTTGCCTGGTTTGAAATTTACTTCAGCAGGTCTTGATACCTTATGTATTTAGCTATTGCAATGTGATTGGCTTATTCAGTTTCTGTCAACAAGCATTACAGTGTCTGATAAATGCACATGTATAGTAAAAGGTGTATGCAATAGTGTAGCTATTCATAGGCAGAAAACTAACCCTTTTTACCTTAAAATAGCTCAGTTGTAGGCAAACTTTAAGAGTTACTTTAAGCGGTGATATGGAATAGGCCTTTTTAAGATGGACTTGAACCTATATACAAATATCTGTTTAAAAATATTTATGAAGTCTTGTTCAGGGGTATTTAGTTTTTTTTTTCTCATGGTTTCTATACAGAATTACAGCACAAACTTTATGTAGAGGCTTAGCTTTTATCATCAATTGAGACTTTTCTAATTTACTCCATTCAAAGAGCGTTTTTCTTATCTTCCCCATCTACTTCCTGTCACGCCAAAACACTTTATGTAAGAAAAAAAAACAAAACCAAAAGGAGTTTGCAGAACTAAAGAATAGTTCCTTTTTATAAGTAAAACAGATATACTGTACAGCAAGTTTCCTTTTTCAAACAATGGTGAGGATAAAGAAAAGTACATGTTTTGACATTTAAGACGAAGACAAAAAAAAAAAAAAGATTTTTGTTCCAACACCTCAGAGCGAGGGTTTGGGCAGAGGACATCAAACATGTGTATGTTGGCTCATACTTAAACGTTCACACCCACAGATTCACACAGTCAGGAAATGCTGACTGTAAAGAGCAGGTGATGGTGACTACTGGTGCACATAGTCAGTGAACAGAACTTCAGATCTACTGCAGGCCTGTAAACCAAACTTTGTCACCTTAGTTTAACATGATATAAGGCATAGTTTAACATAAGGCATTCTCAGGCTGAGACACCTGCATTCTGAATGAATGTCAAGATAAAGCAGCAGCTGCAGTGAAATAAAGCACTATCCATTGCTATAGGCTATGACTAACATTTAAATCTTACTAAATGATACTGAGATATTAACTTCAGGTCAGATTTACAATGTTTAGCTTTGGCCTAGTGTACAATTAATTTATTATTATTATTTTACTTTCTGTTACTGGTCATGTGTGTGCATGGTGGCAAGTCAGCCAAAGGGACATTCCAATGCTTGACCTATGATGACCTGAGAGTGTCTAACATCACCTTATTTGGTAATGATGTGGTCTGGGGGAGAATGTATGATGCTGCAGCTTTAGAGTTTGGATGAGGCACCTTCTAGCTGGGTGTGGCATTTTTATGATAAATTGGAAAAACATTTATTAGATCTTGACTATTTTCTGTTCTGAGCTATGGCCAAGAGGGTAGGCCAAAGATAAAGAAGATAAAGACTTCCTCTGTAATCTGTACTTATATCAATGATATTGTGCAACATCATATGAGTAAATTCTGTTAAAACTTAAAGATGTTTCTTTCTTTTTGTACACTTTTTGAGAAACATTTCTCCTTGGATTAGAACGGGGTGATCAAACAGCCTACAGCCAGTGTGGTTTTTATGAAGCTGTTCACTTCTCCATTTATGGCATAATTTTATTCTTTTTTTGCATCCTATATTACCTTCTTCCTCTTACACTTGGTGAATGCGGAACAACAACTTCCTGAAAATTGTCTGAATGTCATACTAAAAAAAAAAAAACAACTACTTGCAGCATAAATCTGTGTAAATATTAAGAATAATTATGAAATACTTCATTATAAAGTATTTTTTTTAACATAGAAAGCACATTGGATCAGGACCTCAATGTTCACTTTGTGTGTTCAGGTGACTCAAATATCATATCAGTTGTGGACACTGAGTCTAGGTCTGGTGGAAGTTTCTTCCTGTTTAAGATCAACATTCATTTTTTTCTGTCACATGTTCATCCAGAAGTGAATGCTGCACGTCAATGGCTTGATGCAATCAGCCGGGTTTCCTTGAATAGAAAACTTTTTTAACACATATGAATTATAGATTCCATTTGACTCAAATTCTAAAATAAAACCAGGATTGTCAGGGTTAGATTGAAAGGCTATGAGGATATGTGCAGATCTCAGAGGATTTAATTGAAACAACGTGGCAAAATGTGGAATTTCTATAGCACTGTAAATGTTACTGGATAACAATAAGTGATCTGTAGTTATGTGGAAACATTTCAAACAATCAAAATTTCAAAACAATCCTTTATATGAACTTTTTTTTTAACTGGAAAATGTGATGTTATTAACAATCCACCTGTTTGAATGAATGTTCCAGTTGTTAAGAACAGAAATACTGTTGTGCAAACATCAATTCCAACTTACTGCACTTCTTTAGGGTAACTTTAATTAACTTTTACAGAGTGGATCTATCAATGTTTCGCTCCTTCTACACGGCTATAATAGATTTTCCGTCCTTTATATCAGAGATACATTTTCCTATCTCTTTCAAGAAGTTTGAGCCCAAATTTTTACTACTACAACACATTCCTGAGATGATGTAACTGACAATTACATGTATATTGGATTAGGTAGAGGTAAGTTAAACCAATGATTCAGTGTAGCTAAGAACATGAATGTTCGCAATAGTGTTTAGGTGGTTTTATACTGTGAAAGACAATACATGAAAATATATGTAACATTCATTACACATCAAATGCAACAAAATAAAAATCCCTTTGACAAGAAATAAAGGTAAAAATTAAACATCTAAGCACTTTTCACATGTACAATCTCCCTTTTCAGTCTGGCTGAAACAGGAATTTCTACCTGAAGATAAGGTTGAATGATCACAAAAGGGCATGGTTTATATGATATAGCTGGGAGCTAAACTTTTCACCAAACCTCGGAGTGAGATGTTGAAATAGTTTGGAAAGATACATAGATGCAGCTATAGGTTGTAGGTTTTCAAAAGATTTAACTGAAACAAAGTGTCAACATGGGGGATTTTTGATAGCACAGTAAATGTAACTGAGTAACAATAAGTGATCTGTAGTTATGTGGAACATTTTTCTCACAATATACATTATTTTCTATATTCTGGTGATTTTCAGAGAACTGAAGTAGACTGAAGAAGAGTGGACCCTACTAAAATAGTTGCATCTTAATTATCCTGTAAACTAAGGATTTTACAACTTGTTTATTAATTATATTGAACAGTTCAAGTAAAATAAACAATGGGAAACTAATAAGTTATTACTGGATTAATGTCCCTAATACAGAAACCACTGAAATCAAATTCTGTGCAAACTACACTGTGTATGAATATTTGTCAATATGCGAAGGATAAAAAAGCTTCACTCATTATGTTATTAGTTTTTTTTTATTGGAAAATGTGATGGAAATTATGTTTTTAAGCATGTTCAATGGACCAAAATAAGGCTAAATAAATAAGATAAGTAATAATAAAATGAGAGCATCCCTGTGGTTCCTCCTCTGTGAATCCTGGATAACTGAGTTGTTCTGACCATCCTCTCTGTATGAGGCAGGTCTGTTCTTGGATGGCTGATCTTTTGAAAAATAAAATGCAATGGTTCTTTCTCTTTTTGTGAACCTCATATGGATTGTTGACGCAAACCTGAAAGCTTTAAGTATTTAGATATTTGCGTTGGTTTAATTAGTCCTAAATTCCAATGGAGATTATTACACTAGACTGAGCAATAATTATTCTAACTTGTGAGAAAAACATGGACTAAAACTGGGAATTAAAAAAGCACTAGGTAAAGAGCAAGCAAACCATTTAATGTGATCCTACATATCTGCACATTGATTACTAACTGCTGTATATTTAACTCATATTTACTTAAGTACTAGATTGCTTGAAATCTCCAATAATTTAATAAGAAAAATATCTTAGTCCAGATGAGATAAGATAAATATTAAAATGACATACCTCAAAATAACTTCTCAGAAATCCCAGTCTAAGCTGCTTTCAGTGAATAGGTGGATTAGTGCAAAAATAAGGACTGGATTACACTTGGCATGTCCTTGTGTGTTAACACTAAGGGTGTATTAAAAATGCGGACTGGATTCTCATAACCATGCTATTTTTATGTATAAATAAGTGGAATGAAGTTGATTTTAAATGTCTGTCATTTTTAAGCGTAAAAAATTGGGAATATGGAGTGAGAGTGTCTGTAGACAATGAGATGCATGAGTCTCATACCCAACGGGTGAAGGTTGACATTCCTGTATAGGGGTGAGTCTTCTTACCCACAGGTTCATTTCAATATATACGTAACTATAGTACGGTATGTTTGCAGGAAGCAACAACAAGCTTGGTAAATGCAGACATGATGATATTATCATTTAGCTAGAGATAAGGTGCAAAAAGACTGCAGAACAGCTACAGGATGTGGACAGTTAATAAAGGTGGAGATAAGATATTTTTATGAAAGTATTACTGGTACAGTATTTATTTTTCTCTTTTTGCAAAAAATCAAAGACTAAACATTGTTTCTAAGTTAGGTCTTTGATGATAAACCTTGACCTCAGAATAAGTGACCTCTTCAGCCTGAGCAGCCGTGTGGGATTTCTTATTAAGTGAGGATTCTGATTCTCTCATTCGTTTAGGCGTCACATCAGCATACACCACTTCATCCTACAGCAAGAGTTAAAAAATAGAGTTCATTTAACACCATGTTTCCCCCATCACAGCCGTAATAAAAATAACCAGAATGCAAATCATTGGCGTATCACCAATCCAAAGTAATGCTTTAAATTCACATTGACCTTACCTGCTCCTTAAAAATATAAGATGGTCTGGTCACACTGGCTAAACGCCTCGATGTATCTAGAAAACATATAAGCCTCATTAGAGGGACGTTTAGGAGGCTAAAGAGGATTAACACATTATTTTTTAGAAACAGTTATGACAGACTGGTTTTACCAATGTGGACTTGAAGCCTGCGTGCCGCATTTTGTCTGTGGGAAGGAACATAACAAACTTAGATTAGCTGTCAGGAAACATTGGGTTTCACATTTGTAGGAGAAAAGAAAGACATTGTTGGTTTATTCAACTTTATCACTATTAGCACTTTATATAAAACAGAGTATAGTCAGTTATAGTTCCTAAAATACTACTTTGTTACAGTAGCATAATTTCAATTTTCATTTTTTATTCACACCTTATCACACCGGCTGTCAGTACTTTGAACAATCCCCTTTTGCTGGTAAGACAGTACTTATTCTTCTCCTATAAAGCCAATCACACCATGGCGATTTAGCCAGCATTGCCCTGAGTCTTCTAAAACGCTGCCATACTCCGAACTTCATCTGTATTTTTTCAATTTTGGGCGTATACAGAGAGTATTTATAACGAGTCCACAACTTATGTCCAACAACAGCCTAACTTATGCATAACACATGGCAGTGTAATGCCCATGAAATGTCACCAGCCAGTGTCCTGAGAGGGGCAGCCGGAGGTTCCTGGTCTGCATAAAAAGATAGCTTTGATCGCAGTATTAACCTAGCTGCTGTTTACCACCCATCAAAGAAAAAATAAATAAAAAGAAAAAAGAAAGAAGGAAGGATTGCAATCTCAGCAGATTCAGTGTCATGTCTGTTAGGAAGTTTGTTGGTCATGGCAATGAACTTAGGGAGGATCCATCACACTCACCTTCTGGCTCATCCTATGATTGGGATGAAGTCTGGAGGATAATTGACAGTTTGCTCCTGTGAACCCCCTTTTATACCAAAATGCTGCCAATACGGCATTATACGGTAATTGTACATTAGAAACATGTGCAGCGGTCGTCTGAAACATGTCAAATACATTGATATGCATTGGAGATAAGTTCTTGATAAGTTAGGCATACTGTAATTTATGCACAAGTTTTCATAGGTTTTGGTGAGCTAGATATCATGACTTATGAGTAACTTAGACTTAAATTATGTCCAACTATCAGATAATTTACCTGTAACTTATATCCCATGTATTAGCATATGCTGGCATACAGTATGCTGGGAAATTTTGAGCATGCTACTTGCTGTACGTTGACATGTGCCAGTGAGCTTCAACATGCTCATACTTTATACAAACCTAAACGTATGCCAGTGTTTTTGCCAAATTTTGCGTACATCAGGCATATACTGTCTAAATTGTCAAGGTGTGACAGGGGGCTTAACTTTTCTCAAGCCTTAACAAACAGAGAGAGGGACCTTTGAACATTCCTATTTGGACAGGGTAAAGATTCAGTAGCATGAACTATTGACAAGCCATTTACTTTTTACAGGCAAAAGTCTTCAGCTTTTATTTTAATTCATATAATACTTTTCTAAATTCATTAATCCATCTTCATTAACAAGGTTTGCTGCACCTTTTTTTAAATTGATACACCTTTGATGTACTCTTCAGTTTTCTCAGAGCTGTCTGATCTTTAAATAGAAACATCCCACGGCTTAATCACAACAATTTTTGATCAAAGCTGTCATCTTGGTTTAAATGTACAATTTTGCCTTGTGTGATTCCTTGTCTTATCCATTTTTCATCAGGAGCTGAGGAACATGAATCTCAGTATTTACCAAAGAAAACAAAAGACACACCAAATAAAAGAAATTTCAGTTTGAAAAAAAGAAAGCATATATTAGATTCAATTTAAGAGTTGTTAGGAGTCAAAGAATAAAATTGCTTCTCATAAGGTTTTTTTTCTTCAAATAAGCAAAGGTAAGTGAACTATATTTGGGATTATCAATGGTGGAGGTAGAGACCTCACTCTTGGTCTCGTTTTGTCCAACTCCTACAAATTGTAAAGGCAGGTTTGAGACTATAGATTTGTAATAACAATAATATTGTTAACACAAAAACAAAGATGCATTTGATCTTCAGCTGCAGAAGCACATCACACTTAATGTGAACTAAAAGACCATTGCTGGATTATGCCAGGTCAGACAAAATATAACGTTGTTATGCCTAATGATGGCCATGAAATCTTGCTGAGAGAATGTCTTTTTTGATCCATTGCTTTAAAAAGCAAACAATCCCTTAGCGGTGCTAGTCTGACACTATCCCATTAACAACACAAGGAACCTTTAAAATAAAAACCGAAACTTTGGACTTCCAATTGATAACAGAATTAGTGTTGCACCGATACCGATACCAGAATCAGGTGTGGCGCCAATACTGCACTAAAATGGTGGTATCGGTATCGGCGAGCACCAACAAATAGGGCAGCGATACAATTTTGAGAGCCAAAACTTTATTCACCCATTCCAGGTTGGCAATAAAAAGTTCTACTGGATTCACTTTGTATTAGTCTTTTCCTGCTTAACAAAGGTAGGCAGCAGCTTGACAAAGCTATGATGGCAATTATTTTACATCCAAGTATGCAGTTCTTCATATATACATACATCAATTTAAAACAGATAGTATCGTTATCGGCCAGTACTGCACAGCCAGGTATCGGGTATCGGTATTGGAGCCAAAAAATGGCATTGGCGCAACACTAAACAGAATCACTGTGCATAAAACAAAAAACGTGCCAACAATGAGAAAAAAAATTGGCTAGTTTTAATGAAGCCAAAAACCAATAATCCAGTTTCACCTTAGTTGCTTTTTTTTCTCCACCTTAGCTGTTTTAAAGTCATAATCCATTTAAGATAAAATATTTCTATATGGCTCTGAGAATCCATTTTCCCAGCATTATATTAGCCTGGGTGCCATTCCGAACTTAGTCCCGCCCACAAGGTTTGAGGTTGGGAAGTTAGGTCTGGCATTGCTCAATATTAGCGCGAGTATGATCGCCCACTCTCTGGCGATCCAATCAAATTGTCAGGGTGGGCTTTATACGATGAAGGACAGATGGTCAACAGTAACGTAATCAACCATGTGACCAAAGCACGCTTGGGTGACAACAACAATGGTTGCCGCCGGAGAGCTGAGGTGAGTAGATTCTGCTATTAGGTCTGTCCTAGAAGATATCAACAGCAAATTAATTTTAAAAGACGAACAGAGAAACGCGATCAAGGCTCATCTTCTTATTCTAGGCGTGCAACTGCACTCTTTGATTTTTGTGGAGAACAACTATGCGTCGCTTAACATACGTTACGCACTCCGTTGCTCTTATTGGTTGTAGGTCTATCCAATTGAGTGCAGAGGCATTTTTTTTCCTGGTTCATTCAAAACACGCCCCATAATCACAGCTCTATGGAGCAGTATCAGACTCATATTCTGACTAGAATTGAGTCGGACTACGTCAGGCTAGCATTATATGTGACTTTTTTGTCTTCTTACGTCTCCTATTGGCTTTGTGATTTTTAAAAATGGACACGGATTGTATTCGCTCTGATGGTTCGTTGGACGCATCAAAATGTATAAATATTTTGAGCAGCCTGACTTCATATGATCTGAAGAAATTGAAAACTCTACCTAATTATTATAAATATATATGTATATTAATACATACATATGTATTTTTAAGAGCAGTAACCTTTGTGGTGTCCATGCTTTTTAGGGTAAAAATTAAAATACTAGTTGGTACTTTTATATGTGTAAGGCTTATTAAAAGGATAGAAGAGGACGAAAAAAAAATCCAGAAATAAGTTTGAACTCTCACAGCTGGCTCTAGGTCATCATTAACTGGTTGAAACAATCTTTAAGGGTTTGTAATCGTATAAAAAAAAACCCAAACCACTTCTTTTAACAGCCAATTTTAACAGTCTCTTACACAAAGTGTCTATTTTTAAATATGACAACTTATATGACTCTTACTGTTTTCCAAAACTGAGCAACAACTATTTCACAACGCAGGCTTATGAATAAAGTTTAGACAATACGTGTCAACATTTGGCTGCATTTATCAATTTAAATATTAGTTTATTAGGATAATTATTAATTTAGTAGTAAGAGGTAATTTCAATTAATATTGCTAAAATAAATTTTGCTTTTTGACCTAAAATGTTTGTCTAAATCCCTTACATTCAGCCTTGGCCTCGGAATGTCTGATCTAGGCCTTTTTTTCCCTTTTTATTATACCTTTATTTAACTGTTTGAGAACCACTTTCCTTTTGCAAACAGTCTTGACTTCCTCCCTGCCAGCAACTAACAACTCTTTTTGCTAATCTAGTGCTTAGTGATTATTTTTAGAATGAAACAATTAATAATCAGAAAAATAACTTAAAGAAAAATAATACTGATTTTAAATCAGGTGAAGCTAAAAGTATGCCGCTTTAGAAATTTAGGATAGAGCATATGTGAGGACAAAAAAGAGTTTTCATCATAAATGCAAATGACTTACTTCTTATATATTTATACTATTTCTGCATAATAACTGCTCCGAGTAGGTTGCTCTTTTAGCTAATGTAATGTATTAGAGTCTCCATACTCCAGTTAGCAATTAATCAATGACGAAATTGTTTGTTTTAATAATTGATTCATACAATCATCTGTTTCAAAAGTATATTTAATGTAAAAGCATGTCTTTAAGGTTATATAAACCACCACAATATGAATACTAATAAAAAAGGCCTACCTTTTGATATAGGTAAGGTAAGCTGCGGCGGTGAGGATCACTAGAAGAAGTAAGACTGAGATAATGATTGCAGAGAGTATCCCTGGGGATGTCTGCACCTGCTTTTGTTCAGGGACAGGCTCATCTGAAAGAAGAGACAAGAAATTAATCTGTGCTGAAATGTTGGGAATAGAGCACAGAAAGGCAATAAAATGAAGAAGTTGTTTAAGCTGATCGGCATCTCAGAGTGTAATGTTTACTTACCATAAACAATAAGTGTTGTGGTTTCTTTGAATGATCCACTGGGAAAAACGGAAATGCTGCAGGTGTAGGAGCCTGTATCAGTCAATTTCAAATCTGTTATTTTCAGTGAGTGTTCTGTAAGATTCACTCTGTCCTTCAGGGAAGATTCTCGAATAGTCATTCCATGATCTGAGTTGAAAACCAGAATCGTGGAGTTTTCGCTCTCTGACTTTATATCCCACTGAACCTGTAAAACTCTGGAATCTTTAGAGCTTGTGATGAACCTGCATCTTAAAACGGCTTCATGGCCCAGGTATCCTGGAACTTCTGGCAGTACCTCCAGTTTTTGTGCCTGCAGATCTGAGGGACAATAAATGTTTAAATAGGAGAGACAGATGGAGGATAATTGAACTGAGGCTGCATTTCTAAGCTGGTAATTAAGCTATAATTTTGTTTTACCAAATAAATCCCTCCCTGCCTCAAAAACAAAGCATTAGGAAACAAACTTTAATATAATAAGATAAGGTAAATTATCTCACCTGGAAATGATGTGATGAATATAATGTTCACAATAAGGAGATATATTCTGTAGGTTCTCATTTCTTTAAACTGCATTTAATTTGAAGAAAAATAGTTATTAATCATCTGACTGTCATCTTTAAATCAACTTCAGACAAACTTACCGTCATTCCGTGGAAAAGCGAAAGGAGTCAGTTAAAAAATGCAAATCATTTGAAGGCGAGGCGGTGTATAGAGTAAGAAAGCGGAACAAGAGCTAAACGACGCAACCAAACCAATTTTTATTCCAACAATAACTCTGCAGAACCTGCTGAACCGCTGCCTCAGAGTGACACATTTAAACCTGAATACATACGTGCGATGGAGAGGCGCTGCTCAAAAATAGTATTTACCTAAAAAAGTTAAGTTAAAAAAAATGCTAATACGCCAGTAAAGATATTATCATACAAGTTACAAAAGTTTAAAGTGAAAAACATTTCAATAAATAGTGAAAAGATCCCTCACAAACTACATTGGTTGCCTCCTGATTGCCGATGTCAGGTGTGACTTCTACCCTGCTCAGCACTGACCTCTAGTGGTAGATCTAATACCAAAACTCTTTATTTCTTTTAAAAAAGGTATACATGCTGCAAACTTTTTATAGACGTTTAAACCACGCGTACTAAAAGGAGAATTTTTGTTAGAAAGAGACTCCTTACAATACAGTATATATGTCTATGAATGTATCTTAAAAGTGATAGATTTGGTCAAAGCAGGGCAGAGTTGATTTTCTAACTTTTTGTCCAGTCTCACAATAGAGAGAAGGGAGAAATACAGTTCAGTAGGGATATTAGACTTAGTGATTGTGAAAGAAATGGCATAATTTTCTAAGATGTTTATTGGAGAAAATGTTGCTGAATAAAAAAAACAAGTAAAATAGGAGATAAACAAAAGTAGTTTAAAATGCACTACATGTAACATGTTTTTTTCTTGACATTCAAATCTTTTACCACAGTTTTTCTTTCTTCACACTGATTATCATGTACTTCACACTGGTTTCATGCACAGCTGAGGTGAACTTAACACTTTTTGGTGGTCTTAGTGGTTGCCACACTGTGTTTTTTTTTCTCTGCTCTTTTTTTCTGTTCTGAATGACTTTAGTCCTAACGCTTGAGTAATTAAAGTCATTTATCATTTGAAAAAAACAATAAAACATTCTCAGTCCCTAAACTATCCATTACTATGAACCCTGATATTTGACAACAAAACCAACCAACCATGTATTTCTTGTTATTCACAAGAGCGTTCATTATGCAACACGTACTGTATCTCACCTCTACAATTGTCACCGAATAGAAGACACTTTTTTTTTGTCAATAAAAAAAACATAAAACCATGCATCATCCCATGATATCTCGAGGAAAAAAAATAGGTATGAGGAATTCTCTGGTACAGCATAAAGTGACTGCATATCTATAGGTGAGAGCACAGATTTGACTGTATTCTTAAAGATGTACCGGTATAAGGAAATCAGTACTTTTTACTTAATGTTGAGATGCGACACATTGATATGTGTATTAAAGTGCATCCAAAAAGGAAGAAATTCACATTCTTTTGTTTTTCTTGGTAAATATACTTATATATCAATGAGCTTTTTACGAAAATGACCTGACTGCTGTACTTAGTGATTAATGAGTCATTTTGTAAACAACAGATACACTGACTTCAGATGTTCTAACAGGAGACACAAAGAAATGCAAAAGAAGAGTTTGCTACAAAACATGAGATAGATTTTAGTTCGATGTGTATTGACTGTCAGGAGGTTAATGATCATTTAGTGTTTTTATTTAGTTTGTATCCTGCATTTTAGAAGAAGGTATAAAAAATATAAAGAAATAAAGCTATTGCAGTCAAAGCTCTGCATTCTTTTTCTGTTGAAAAAAGCATTAGACCTTGCCAAGTAATCTAAGACTGGCACATCTTGATACACTTTTCAAATTAATGTGTGATTTTATTTTTTACACTGTCATTTTTGAAATGACAGTGTAAGAAATAACATTGAAGAAAAAACAAACAAACCCTTTATCTGAAAATAAAGTGGAGAAAGTAGAAAAAAAACAGAGAGACTGCACACCTTTACATAATCAGAAAGGAAACATAAACACAGTGGTGACGACAAAAAATGGAAAAAAAAAATCAAACAATAGCCCTGCTAAACCGCTTCCCTCGAGTGACCCAGATAAACGTGAATATAAATAAATACAAATCTAAAAAAACTCAGCTAAACAACTATGTTGTGGCAGTTATGGTAGCCAAACTGTAATGCAATGTTCTGAATAAAAATGATATAACGACATTTAAATATTTTACATATTGTCAGCATTTTGTACCACTTCATGAATCTGTGGGAATGTTTATTATTAACAAAGAAACTAATCTTTCCATCAGTGACGATCATTGGAATATTTACACCCACAGTGAATCATGAAGGTAAGAGTGGAAACAGGGTAGGCAGGATTTTAATCTAATCAAGTAAAACGATTTTACAGAGTTAGAACAGTGCTTACAGTGATTTTCAGCACATTTAGTAATAAACCAGGTATTAACAGCTGGTGCATCAATATATTACATCTGTGTGCAAACAGAAAACAATGTTTTGGAGCTCATTTCTTTATAATCATTTTTATTTATGCCAAGTTTTCATCAATGAAGCAGTTTGGGACGTATGCCACCAGGGCAAAAATGGAAAATACTTCTAATAAGTATAATACGCTTTAGAAATGTGACCATTATAATATTATAGATAACATCATACCAAATAGAACTCAACTCAAATGTCTTCTACTGTATTTTTGCAGCATATCTATTTGATTTCTGCTGGGCTTAATAAATGGAAATGTTTTTTTCCACTGCTAAGCTGCTCGTTTACTGTCGGAAAGCTGTATAAACAAATTTTTGTGTATACAAAATTACAATAAAGTTTGTCTAAGTCTAGGTCATTATGATCTTTGCTTCTCTGGGTTACAGTCTGACATATATTTAATGCAGGCAGCTTCATAGGACATTCAAAGTTGCTATAAACAAATTAAACCTGAAAAAGAGTAGAGAGTTAATGAGATCTCATTTGATCTCTTCATACAAACTTTAGCCAAAAGGTTTCATACTGCTTGCAGATACAGTTTTAAAGTTTTTATTCAACTTAGAAGTTTGTTTTAAATAAGACATGTCATGTAAATCTTCTTTGCATTGCAGCAGTCAGAACGTTTCTATGCTTCCACTGGTATTGAGGTGAGCTTCAGGTCTTAAAGGTTCCTAGCTGGAGTCTAACAGAGCTACACCAAAACATTTAAAAAACACCCAATAAGAAATAAAACAAGTTGGCAAATTGAATGATTAGAGTAAATATACATTTCCCATTATATGAATATTCTGTGATTGCCTGCTAAACTATAATTATACTACTGTATGGCAATGCTATAGCTGTAATGGAAATATAATATTAAGTCTATTCAATAACTTTCAAAATATTTCTTGGCAGTGCAAATATTTCTCTTTTATTTCAGGTTGTTTTTAGTTTCCTGCAGGATACAAAGTTTCTTGAAATGCACATTCTTGCCAGCTTTTCATTGGGGACGTTCTTCAGTAGTTGCTGAGGGTTGAATATGAAGAAAACAGATAAATCAATGTACAATCATTATGGATTAGAGATATAACAATAGCTCTTTTAGGCTGTTGACTAATGACTCACCAGTTTTTTTTTAGATCCGTGGTCTCCAACTCAAATCCTTGAAGGATGGTGTTCTGCATCATTTAGATCTGTGCCTTACGCTACAAACCTTAATCAAATTATTAAACAGAGCTCATCTTGAGAGCTCTGTTCTGAAGACATGCTTTGACTGGTGTCGTATGTGGGAGCAACAAGAAGGTAATTTTATGAGGATTAGAACTCAGCCCTAGCATGCCCTTTAGACATTTTATGTTGTGCTTTTGCCGAATAGTTTATTTGACTTTTAAATCATTTTTAAAAATATATAAAATGTAGTTGTTTGTGTACCTTGAAGCTAACTCCTAGATTCCTAGATGCTCTTTTTGACACTGTATCAGCCGAATTACCCCACTGTGGGAGAATAATGACATTTCTATTCTATTCTATTCTATTCTATTCTATTCTATTCTATTCTATTCTATTCTATTCTACTGATATGGAGTCAAGCTCCCGAGATATCTGCTAATGAACTAATATTTGAGTGTGTTTTGCAGAGAGGGATCTAAAAGTTGCAGGACGCCGGCCCACAAGGACTGGAGTTTGAGACCATTGTCTTACATGAACCCTTTCAGAAGAATTGCACTGATGAATAACGATGAGAATGTCCAACAAGGGGCAATACAGGATGCTGTAGGTAAAGAAGAGGAGCTTCAGTCAAATTGTCTGCATCCTTTTAATTCTTTAACAGAAACAACATGCATGCCCAATAAATATCATCTTACCTCTCAGGTCCAGGATGGTTGAATTTTCCTTCATTGTCACCATGTTTCTGGCAGTGCAGGTGTAGTTCCCAATGCTTTTAGGCTCTAACTTCTCTATAACAAACGTGGAGGTTTTGACATTTGTGTTGTTGCCGTTAAATGACCAGCTAAAGTTTGCTGGAGGGACAGAATCTGCAATGCATTGCATTGTCACTTTATGGCCAGGCCAGGCTGCTGATGGTCCGATGATTGAAACGTTATATGGTCCATCTGCACAGAAAGGTATTAGATGTCAAGTCTAAGCAATAAAAATCTGACCCGTGGTCAAACCTCTTAAAGAGGATAAATAAATCTTGACTTTACAGTACTTACAGTTGACAGTGAGATGAAAGGACGCAGTCTTGCTGCTGACTGGGTTGCTGACTCGACACTGGTAGGTGCCGTGGTTTGAACTGAGAACAGGTTGTATGAACACAGTCCTGTTGTCCATCCCTAAGTTGAGGCTGTCAGTGAGATGAAGATGGTGGCCATCTTTTATCCATTCTCTGGTGATGATGGAGCCGGAGCCTTCACAGGTGAGGGTGGTGGAGCTTTGACCTTCTATGAGGACGGCTGCAGGGCTGCTGATGGTGGCTGCAGTTATCGGCACTGGTGGGCAGAAGGGGTCTAATGTGAAAACTTTAAACAAGAACTACTGAGTTTTTTTAATAAATAGATCCTGGTTTTTGTATATCAGGTTGATTCCTTCAAACCATTGTTACTGTAGTTATTTTACATATTTCATTTTTTATATTTTTTTGCTTTATTTGTCTGGCTGAAAATATGGATGTAACTTGATCACTCATTAATTTTTTTTAGTTCTTCAAGCCAATTAAAAAACACTATTACTCATGCACGTACACATAGCCTATCTGTAGTTTCTGTTTCAAGATGAAGCTGAATATATATATTTATAGCTTGATATCAGATAAGCGTTTGTTATTGATAGAAGCCTACAAATGAAAACGCTACTTCACAACAAAGTACCTCATTTACAATTCTGT